CTATGGGTAATCCAATGTTTGATATTTGTGGCTTTCCAAGATCCTGTAGACCCTACTTCATCCTACAGCATTGTTTAGAGTTTTCTCTCCTTACCTAAGGAGGGATGTACTTGTCCTTGAGGGAGTCAGACACTCGGTTCCTGAAATGAGAAACTGAGGAAACTAGATCTATGTTCTCTGGAGTTCTGGAGTTCAGAAGTGTGAGAGGTGGTCTAGTTTCAAAATATATAATTCCCAAGGAGCTTAACAAGGTAGATACTGGAAGGATGTGTCTCCTGGTTGGACAATGTAGGACACAGCAACATGGTCTCAGAATAAAGAGTTTGTCATTTAGGACTGGGATGAGGAGGAATTTCTTCACCCAGATTCTTTGGAATGTTCCACCATAGGAGCTGTGGAAGCTCAGCTATTGAGTACATTGGGATGGGTAGATTTTTGGATGCAAAAGGAATCAAGGGAAATTGGGATATTGGGGGATTAGCTGGAAAAGCAGCTGTGGTTTTATTGAATAGGATAGCAGATTCAAAGGGCCAAATGACCAGCTCCTTTTTCTCATGTTCTAGAGTAAAGACATCCACATGGCAATGTGATCATGTGAAGAGTTTTTTCTGAATTCCCTTTAAACTTCTTTCTGTCTCCTCCCGGTATTGCACCAACCAGTGGAAACAATTTTATAATTGTTTATCTCATTGTTATCTCATTATCTTCAAGCAAGTTTCCTTCTAAATGTTCTCAATCCTCCTGATAAAAAAGCCTTAACTTCTCAACTTTGCCATTATAAGTATTGACCCTAGTACCACCTTTGTGAACTTACACTGCACCTTTCATCATTGTCTTTGTAACCTTACCATGATACTCTCCAGTTACAGTCTGCCATCTGCTTAAAATCCACATTATTTATTGTTTCTGAAATACCTAGCTGTAGGTTTTTTTTAAAAATAAGAATCCTTTATATCTTTTTAATATTCCTATCTGCACAATCACCTTTTAATAACTGAGCAAAATCTATGCTTCATTTGCTTCCTTACTCTGTTTAAGGAGAGATGGTACATAATGGTAATGTCCCTGAGTTATTACGCTAAAGGGGCTCGGTTGAACGCTCTGGGAACGGGTGTTCAAACTCTAGTGTATCAGAACTGGAATTTGATTCAGTTAAAAGCTTGTCTCAGGTGAATGGTGCCTGTGAACTATCTTTGATTTACATAAAACCCCATTTGGTTCACTAATGGCCTCAGGGGCCAGGGTGGCTCGGTGGCTCAGTGGTTAACACTGCTGCCTTATGGTCCCAGGGAGCCAGGTTTGAAAAAGGGTGTTCTGAAGAAGGGTCTAGACCCAAAAAGTCAGCTTTCCTGCACCTCTGATGCTGCTTGGCCTGCTGTGTTCATCCAGCTCTACACCTTGTTATCTCTTGCATTTATGTAGCATCTTTCATGACAGCTGGCTGTTTCTATGGCCAATGAAGAACTTTGTGCAGTGCTGTCACTGTTGTGATGTAAGAAATGCATTAGCCAACTTGCCTACTGCAAACTCCCCCAAATAACAATGTGACAATAGCCAGTTGTAATGCTTTTATGATGTTGATTGAGGGATGAATATTGGCCCAGGACACCAGGGATAACTCTCAGGCCCTGAATTTGGTGCCATGGATTCTGTAACATCATTGGCTCAGACTGAGGAAGGCTCCATTTAAAGTCTTATCCAAAAGACAGTACCTGTCAGGACGATGACATGAGAGCGAAAGGGAGACATTGGTAAAGGAGGAAAGTCAGCTGTGTCCCAGATTGTCAGCTCCTTGAGGAACACAGGGTGTGAAAGGTAATCTGGAGCGATCCAATCAGCCACGTTCTCAGTGAATGGCAGAGCTGACTCGATACGCTGAATGACCTACTCCTGCAGTCGCCCTGCTTGTTCTGTCTCCATCCCAAGGCACCGTTGGTCCTAACCCAGTGTTAAAAACTGAAAGAACTGCACATGCTGGAAATCAGAAACAAAAATTGCAGGAAAAGCTCAGCAGGTCTGGCAGCATCTGTGGAGAGAAAGCAGAGTTAACGTTTTGGATACTTCCACAGAACAGATTAAAAATGTTAACTTTGCTTTCTCTCCACAGGTGCAGCCAGACCTGCTGAGCTTTTCCAGCAATTTCAGTTTTTGCGTCTAATCCTGTGTTAATTGCTTACACTGAAAGGATATACTTTCTCGTCCAGGCCAAGAACGGAAACTGAGAATCATCTGTTTGTGCCATTTAATGAGTTGATTGCAATTTCTGTTTGGAAATGTGAAGCCAAAATGGATTTTGAGACATGCCAACATGCCATTCTAACCGCGTGGCATTTTCAGCCTAATGCTGACATTATAACATAAAATTTATAGAACTGAACTTACAGCCATTCTTCCCTGTAGGTATATGTCACTGCTTACAATCCTTATGAACATCGTCCCATCTTAACTGATCTCACATCATCAGTGTATCCTTCTAATATAGCCACTTTAAAATTTAAAAGGAGAAACTTTAGTTGGTTTTTTTTTGCATTAAATTTTCTATCTTCCTGGTATTGCCGGTTTTTGATGTATTATAGTTCCAAATTGTTGGGTAATGTCTGATGACAATAGCAGCCTTGTTAATTTCAGTGTGGTAAGATGTGATGTTGGCTCTACAACGTTGCTTTCTCCAATGACTGTCTTTTGGAAAGGCAAATCAGGGCAGGACTGGTACACTTAATCATAAGGTCCTGAGGAGTGTTGCTGAACAAAGAGACCTTGGAGTGCAGGTTCGTATTTCCTTGAAAGTGGAGTTGCAGGTAGATAGGATAGTGAAGAAGGCATTTGGTATGCTTGCCTTTATTGGTCAGTACATCGGGTATAAGAGCTGGGAGGTAATGTTGCAGCTGTACAGGACATTGGTTAGGCCACTTTTTGATTACTGCTTGCAATTCTGGTGTCCCTCCTATAGGAAGGATGTTGTAAAACTAGAAAGGATTCAGAAAAGTTTTACAAGGATGTTGCCAGGGTTGGAGTTTTTGATCTATAGCAAGAGGCTGAATAGGCTGGGGCTATTTTCCCTGGAGAATCAGAGGCTGAGGGGTGACCTTCTAGAAGTTTATAAAATCACGAGGGGCATGGATAGAGTGAATAGCCAAGGTCTTTTCCGTGGAGTGGGGGAGTCCAAAACTAAAGGGCATAGGTTTAAGGTGAGAGGGGGAAGATATAAAAAGGGCAACTTTTTGACACAGAGGGAGGTATAGAATGAGATGCCAGAGGAAGTGGTGGAGGCTGGTACATGTAACACTTAAAAGTCATCTGGATGGGTATGTGAATAGGAAGGGTTTAGAGGGCTATGAGCCAAATGCTGGCAAATGGGACAAGATTAATTTAGGATATTGGGTTGGCATGGACTTGTTGGACATAAGGGTTTGTTTCTGTGAGATAGCAAGAACTGCAGATGCTGGAGTCAGAGGTAACACAGTATGGAGCTGGAAGAACACATCAGGCCAGGCAGCATCACGGAGCAGGAAAGTTGATGTTTCAGGTCAGGGCCCTTCTTCAGAAAACAAAGTGGCTCAGTTTAGCACTGCTGCCTCACAGCGCCAGGGACCTGGGTTCGATTCCACCCTCGGGTGACTGTCTGTGTGGAGTTTGCGCATTCTCCCCATGTCTGCTGGGTTTCCTCCCACGGTCCAAAGATGTGCAGGCTATGGTGGATTGGCCATGCGAAATTGCCCCATAGTGTTCAGGGAGGTTTAGATTATAGGGGGATGGGTCTGGTTGGGATGCCTGATGGCTGGTGTGGACTTGTTGGGCCAGAGGGCCTGTTCCCACACTGTAGGGATTCTATGAAGGGTTCCGAACTGAAACTCCAATCGTGACTTCAGTGTAAAATGAGGCAGGAGTAAATATAGACAAGATTGTCAACCTTCCCATTGTTTTGTTTCTGATTGGGTTCTCTGGATGGACGGTCATAGTCTCATGGATGTGTGGACTGTAGCCCCTGTATCATTTAGACCCGTTGTAAAAAGGATGCCAAATTATTGCGTGCTGATTAAACCAGTTCTTCTGAAGATTCCTTTTGTGTTTTCTTCTTTGCTTTCTAATTAAATTAGCCAATTAATCAGTGATTACTCGCAATATGTAACTTTTCAAGTGATGCGCTGTACACTTTTACAATTCAGAAGAACCTTCCCTCCTTTTAATTACATTCCCATTTCACTGCCCATAATCTCGCCTGAAGTGCTGTTGTCATGGCAATGATTAGGTAATCTGTATTCAACATTAATTATACAACCCAATACATTATTTTCTTTCTAATTGAGGTGTGGTTTGGTTGGACTAACTTGAACCTTTGATAAGAGTCCAGTAATTCTTTCCCACCTGCCCAGTAATTCTTTCCCACCTGCCCAGTAATTCTTTCCCACCTGCCCAGTTATTGTTCAGGTTCCCCTTAAATTGCTCTGTGTTGTGGTTGGCAGGTTTCCTCCACTAGCCTCAGAATTCTCTGATTGTCCCCTCCCTTACACTTCGTTCCTTCTCCACGACCATTAACTTCTCCATTCACCACAATTTTAGAAGAATGAGAGGTGATTTTATTCAAACATGTCCCTCCTGAGGAGATTTGACAGGATGGATGCTGTGCTGGTCCCCTGTTAGGACAGATTAGAACTGGGGGACACATCTGAAGATTAAGAGATGTCACTGTTAAGATAGGGAGGGGGAGATATTTTTTTCTCAGAGGGTCCTTAGTCACTGTTAGGTAGTTCAGAACTTGCTAAGAAAAAAAAAATCAGCATTCTCCCCTCCTATAAATGTTGGTGCTTCTCCCCTTGAATTGGTATTCTTGCAAAATATCCTGGTGCATTTAAGACTTTGACAAAATGTATCTTTTTTCAGAAATACTCAAGACCTTGGGCCTTGCTGGGTATGTACCAGCCTGGCTCAAGCACCCTTCCCTGTGGGCACTTCCAGCTGGGTCATTGAGTACCAACTGGGGCTGACGTACCCCTCCTATCTGCCCACCGTGTGGCATGACCTTGGGACCAATTGCAATGTGCTAACCCAGGAGAACGCAGACCCTACAAAATCAACTGGTGAACGATAATGGAGGGTAAAATTATTCACGCAGAAACATAACCTTCTTAACATCTACCTTGGAAACTTTGAAGCGATTCCTCTCCCATTCCTGCCTTTAATCTAATAGAATCCCAGCAGTGTGGAAGCAGGCCATTCAGCCCATCAAGTCTGCACCTCCCCCTCTGAAGAGCATCCCACCCAGACCCAACCCCTGCCCTCATCCTATGCCTGTAACCCTGCATTTCCCATGGCTTATTCCCCCTAACCTACACAATCCCTGGACACTGGGCAATTTAACACAGCCAATCCACTTAACCTGCACATCTTTTGACTGTGGGAGGAAATTGGAACACCCAGAGGAAACGGGGAGAATGTGCAAACTCCAGACAGACGGTCGCCTGAGGGTGGAATCAAACCTGCCGTCCCTGGTGCTGTGAGGCAGCAGTGCTAACCGCTGAGCCACTGTGCCACCCAGTAGAATAATCAAGAGTTACAGGGAAAATGCAGGGAAGTGGATATGTCAGATCAGTCATGAGCCTATTGAATGGCGAAGCAGGCTGAGTGGGTGCATGGCCTATATATCTTCCGGTCTTATTAACTCTTCCTCTTTCAAGCTATTCTTTACATTCTAGCTCTTGGATCAGCTTTCAGTCACCTTGCGTCAGAGTCGAGTTTTAGTTAATACCAGTTTGACTACACTGAGGGTTCTATATAAAGGCACGCTTTTGTTGTTGTTGGGTCAATGGAAAGAAAGTAAACCTCTGAAACACTGACGGAAAACTACATCTTGAAGCACATCTCTGCAGCATCAGATGAGCTGGTTTGTATACAGGATGTGGGTTCCAAGTTGTCTCATTATCTTGTAGAAAATATGCGATTGGTAATGAAAAAAACTTTGCAGCAATTTTTGTGCTCTCAAGGGATAATCCTCAGGACATTGCAGAGCTAAACTTGCACACAGATATCATTCCACGCCCTTGGTAGGGAATCTCTTTGCTAACTTGGACTGATAAACAAGGGACTCATTTATCTGGCTGCATTTCCAGATCAAATCACGCTTTAATGTGCTTTGCTTTCAAAGACGCTGTTTGACTGGCGTGCGGGTTAATCATTTTAATGGGGCCACCCCACTGGCTGGCTTTTGACCATTTCCTTTATCTGATCATCATCAAACATTGTTATTTCCACTGGGCCCAGAATTCTTCATCTCCCAGTTAAGACTCATCTCCTCCAGCATTGGCCTCTTTCAGACTTATCCCCTTCCCTGCTGGATATACCGAGATGTGTTCCTGGAAAATTATAGACATTTACAGCATAGGAGGAGGCCTAACACATCTGTGCCACAGGGTACAAAGTCAAATCCGATGTTCTGGCACTTGATCTGTAGGTCTGTATCAGGTGCATATCTGGGTAATTTTATGAATGATGAGGGCTCCTGTCTCTACCATCACACAAGTGGTCCATGTCCTCATCACCCTTTGGTTGCTAAAATTCCCCCCTTGAAATTTCCTAACTTCGTAACCCGAACTTCATACTCCCTGATATACTCCCGAAATGGACACCCCCAACCAAAGGGAATAGAGCCCTCCTATTCACTCTCTCTTGATTCCCATAATAACCACAAAGTTATGATTTTACCGTGCTGCATATCCTATAGATATTAGTCCTCTGCACCCAAGCCAAGTGACTGTGTCCATCATGTGTAACTATCCAGTCTGGAGGAGCAGATTAAGGATAGCAGCAATAGTAATCACCCGCAAAGGACCCCTCCTGTTTTTCATTCTTCGTAGGATCACCACAACTCATCCCTCACACCCCGTCCACGCAATAAGAACCAAAAAAGAATCCCCCTCGTCCTCACGTACCACCCCACCAACCTCCGGATCCAACGCATCATCCTCCGACACTTCCGCCATCTGCAATCCGACCCCACCACCAAAGACATCTTTCCCTCCCCACCCTTATCTGCTTTCCGGAGGGACCACTCTCTCCCTTGTCTGCTCCACACTCCCCTCCAGCCCCACCACACACGGCACTTTTCCCTGCAACCGCAGGAAGTGCTACACCTGCCCCCATACCTCCTCCCTCACCCCCATCCCAGGCCCCAAGAAGACTTTCCACATCAAGCAGATGTTCACCTGCACATCTGCCAATGTGGTATACTGCATCCGCTGTACCCGTTGTGGCCTCCTCTACATCGGGGAAACCAAGCGGAGGCTCGGGGACTGCTTTGCAGAACACCTTCGCTCGGTTCGCAATAAACAACTGCACCTCCCAGTCGCGAACCATTTCAACTCCCCCTCCCATTCCTCAGACGACATGTCCATCCTGGGCCTCCTGCAGTGCCACAACGATGCCACCCGAAGGTTGCAGGAACAGCAACTCATATTCCGTTTGGGAACCCTGCAGCCCAATGGTATCAATGTGGATTTCACAAGCTTCAAAATCTCCCCTCCCCCTACTGCATCCCAAAACCAGTCCAGCTCGTCCCCGCCTCCCTAACCTGTTCTTCCTCCCACCTATCCCCACCTCAAGCCACACCCCCATCTCCTACCTACTAACCTCATCCCGCCCCCTTGACCTGTCCATCCTCCCTGGACTGAGCTATCCCCTCCCTAACTCCCCACCTACACTCACCTTTACTGGCTCCATCCCCGCCTCTTCAACCTGTCTGTTTTCTCTCCACCTATCTTCTCCTCTATCCATCTTCTATCCGCCTCCCCCTCTCTCCCTATTTATTTCAGAACCCCCTTCCCCTCCCCCATTTCTGATGAAGGGTCTAGGCCCGAAACGTCAGCCCTTCTGCTCCTATGATGCTGCTTGGCCTGCTGTGTTCATCCAGCTCTGCACCTTGTTGTCTCGGATTCTCCAGCATCTGCAGTTCCTACTATCTCTGATTCAAAACTTCACCCCTCTTTCTCCAGGCTGGCAGCAGTGTGTATCTCACCCAGGCTCTTTCAACAACACCTTCCAAACCCACAGCCTCCATCAGGGTGGCTGAGTGGTTAGCACTGCTACTTCACAAAACTCCAGGGACCCGGGTTCGATTCCACCCTCTGGCGACTGTGTAGAGTTTGCATGTTCTCCCCGTGTCTGCGTGGGTTTCCTCCCACAGTCCAAAGATGTGCAGGGTAGGTGGATTGGCCATGTAGGGTGGGGTCTGGGTGAAATGCTGTTCAGAGTGTCAGTGTGGACTCAGTGGGCTGAATGGACTGCTTCACACAGTAGGGGTTCTATCAATGTGGAAGCAGGCCATTCTTCCTTCGATTACCAGGTGGTTGGAAAGGCCATCAAGCTGCAAGTTCCCTCCAAACCCACACAATCCTGATTTGGAAAGATCCTGGAATTCCCTTCTGAACAGCATGATGGGTGTCCCTACATCCCAAGAACTGCAGTGGTTGAGGAACCAGCTCACCACCATGACACCTCACTGGGATAGTGCACTGGAAATCTAGCCCCACCATCCCAGAAGCATCACAAAAGTTAATGATTTTATAAACGTACCCAAAATTCTCTGACTTATTGATGAAAACCACAGGTTACAGCAACTGGAAGGGAAAAGAAAGGGGCTTTCAGGGTTGGGGTGTTTTTACCTCAGAAAGAAAAGGATAGCTCCTTCCTTTCAGGTGGTCCACCAGCTTCTGACTGACACCTACAAGCTGTTCAACTACCTGGGAGCCAATCATACTGCTGGAGGTCTTTATGCTTGATAACTCTGATGTGGAGGTGCCGGTGTTGGACTGGGGTGGACAATGTCAGAAGTCACACAACAGCAGGTTATAGTCCAACACTGGAGCACTGCTCCTTTGTCAGGTGAAACCTTTGTCTGGTGAAGTGGAGGGAAATGCATAGGCACCTTACCCGAAGATCCGAGGCTGAATGTCCTTGACCGCTGAAGTGTTTCCCCCACTGGGAGGTAACATTCCTGTTTGGCGATTTTTTTTTTTTTTTTGCATGGTGTCCATTCATCTGTTGGCCATGTAGGGTGGGGTCTGGCGTCTGCATGGTCTCACCAATATACCATGCTCGGGGCATCCATGCCTGCAGCGTATGAGATAGACAACATTGGCTGAGTCACATGACTATCTGCCGTGCACGTGGTGGGGGGTGTTCCCACGTGTGATGGTAGTGACCATGGTGATGATCTGACATGTCTCGCCATGGCAGGGTTGTGTGGTGTTGTGGTCGCTGGTCTCCTGAAGGCTGGGTGGTTTGCTGCGAATGATGATGTCTTTGAAGTTTGGTAGTTGTTTAAAGGCAAGAAGTGGAGGGATGGCCCTGGCGAGATGTTCATCATCATTGATGATGTATTGAAGGCTGCAAAGAACATGGCGTAGTCTCTCTGCTCCAGGGAAGTACTGGACAACGGAGGCTACTCTGTCGGTCATATTCTGCGTCAGTCTTCTGAGGAGGTCATTGCGGTTTTTCTCTGTGGCACGTCAAAACTGGTGATCGATGAGTTGAGCATCTTATTCCATTCTTATAAGGGCATCTTTCAGCGTCTGTAAGTGTTCGTCATGTTCCTCCTCATCTGAGCAGATCCTGTGTATACACAGGGCTTGTCCATAGGGGGTGGCTTCTTTAACATATTTGGGCTGGGAGCTAGAGAAGTGCAACATCATGAGGTTATCCGCGGGCTTGCAGTAGAGTGAGATACTGAGATGTCTGTCCCCAATGGAGATGCATATGTCCAAGAATGAGACTGATTGTAAAGAGTAGTCTAAGGTAAGTCTGATGGTAGGATGAAACTTGTTGATATTGCTATGTAGTTGTTTCAGTGATTCCTCATCATGAGTCCAAAGGAAGTAAAAGTCATCCATGTAACTGGTGTATAGCGTTGGTTGGAAGTTCTGTGCAGCAAAGAAGTCTTGTTTGAACCTGTGCATGAAAATGTTGGCATATTGGGGAGCAAATCTGGTGCCCGTGGCTGTTCCATGTGTCTGGATGACGAACTGGTTGTCGAAGATGAAGACATGGTCGAGGATGAAGCGGATGAGTTGTAGGATGGTGTCTGGAAATTGGCAGTTGGTGGTA